ACTGTTGCAACAGTCACTCCTCTGTTCCAGAAATGGGATCCAGAAATAAAAAATATGCTGTTCAGCAGCAATAAACCAGCTTAAACTCTTAATATCCACCTCATTTCTGGGAAATTTGCCTATTTAGCATACCCAAATGGAATAGCACATGACTGAGGTATAGCAGCCCTCTCTTAGCATAGCCTTGTGTGAAGGACCGCTGGCTCTGATGGCGATTTTTTTTTTGTTTTATTTTGCAAAATGTTCATTTGATTTGTATTTATCTGACTTAATTATTATCCCCGCATTAAATGAAACAAGTTAAAATTTATTATTACATAGAGACTATTAATAACAGGAGGTGAAATGCAGATCTAGACGAGCTGAGCATGTGGTGACGTCACGAGTACGCTTCTGTTCCAATTGACCCAGATCTATACTGCGTGCTCGCGTTCTCACCAAATCCACACTTTAACACCTTTAACCGTACTCGCGTTCCCGTGAATTGAGAAACGGCCACTGAGTCCGGTTTTGCTGAAGGTTTGTCCTGTTAAAAAGGAGTTTTTCCTCTCCACTGTCGCTACAAGCATGCTTAGTGTGAGAGATTGCTGAAGAGTCAATAAGTCGATGCAATCAACTGGTTGTCCTTAGATAGAAAACTTTGAATCAATCTGACTGGATGATCTGGTTGAACTGCAAAGTGCCTTGAGATGACATGATGTGAATTGGCGCTATAGAAATACACTAAATTGAAACTGAATAGAAATAAATGAATTTCAATCTTATCTAATTGGCCACATTGATTTCTAATGTTGCCATTGAAACCCAACAGAAAGAGTTTTAAATGGAAAATGATGGATCCTCCCTGCAGGGAACCTAGCAGCTGTTGGTGTGTGTGCATTGGCCGCAGGGCCTTCTATCTGTATGCAAACATGTAACATTCATACTCTGCACTGAACACCTAAATAAACGAGTTTGTTTCTCACAGATCACACATTAGTTTAAAAGACACATTTGATAAAGACGAGCTCACTGAGCATAAAATAAACAAGAAAAAACATATTCGAGAATACATAACAGCAAGAACCTGAGTGTAGGGTTTTATCTGCTTTATCTTCAGCTGCTATTGGCTGCATGTGTCTGACAGCCAATAAGGAAGAAACCAAACTGTTTCCAGATGGAGTAAACAACATAACCCTTCAAAAGCAATAAAGTTTCTGTTTCCATTTAAGTAAACTAATCAATAAGATGATAATTCTGGGTGCAGAAGGTTAATAGTTGGGTGTTTTTAGCATTTGCTAAGGGTGAAACCCTCTGACAGTTAGCTTACCTGGACTTTTCAGGTTATATTTGTTTTCCATGCTGGTGGACGCTGCCTTTTCAGTTTAATGAGGAAGTTAGTTGGAGTCTCTGCGGCCGATTCGTCTCAACACCAACTCCCAGCAGCTCCCCTCCTGTAGCTGTGGGGAATAAAGCTAGCTAGCTAGCTTCCTCAGTGGGATGACCAGGACCACAGGAGTCCCTGTCAGTGCGGCTCAGGACGGTAGCGCTTCCGAGGATATTTGCATATAGTTTCTTATAAAATCATCAGGAAGTCGTTCCTTAAGTTGCCTGATGTGTCAAAACGAAACACTTCGATCACCCATTTTTTTCCCCCTTTGACGTCATTGTGTAAAACGTAAACAGGAAGCGGTAGACGCTACTTTTTTATTCATTGACGGTTGGAAAACCCAGTTTAAAAGGCATTGCTGACATCTAGTGGGCTGGAGTGTGAACAACTAGTGCTTTTAAACGGGAAAATATACACAAATCAAAATCACTATATAAAATCACTATATATATATATATATATATATATATATATATATACACATATGCAGGGGCAGTGATAGCCATGCTAACTGTGTAGGGGCAGTGATTTTTTTTATATATATATATATATTTTTTAAAATAAGTTCACAACTCCTATTAACTTCAATAGAAATTTGAAGTTAGAACAAGGAAAGAAAAAAAAAAAACCCAAAAAACTAATAATTAAATTATTAAGAAGAGGGGACTAACTGAAATTCTTCCATTAAATCAGACAATTTATTTGCTTTAAGGTTCTGTATCTTTTTTAGGCATCGGTTAAGGGAGGAAAGTTCGTTTTCGAGAGCAGAGAATGACGGGGACCATTTTTGCATAACGACATTTATGGATATAATATTTGGTTATAATCATCAAAGCATTAAATAAGAAATCCATTTTTTTTCATTGTTAAACCTAACTGAATTATTTTAGAAGGAATTAAAGTCCACATTTATAGATCTAGAAGATAAAAAGATCTGAAATTGATCCCATAGGTTTCCTACTTCTTTACATTCATAAAACAGACGATTAGTAGTTTCCAACACATAAGGACGGTATAACAAACAAATGAGGTCACCATTTTTAAAAAAAAAGACTGAAGCCATCTTATTTTTTAAAATACCTTAAAGGAAAATTCCGGTTT